TTCAGCGATGAAATGCTGAATTTAGAAGCAGCAAAGACAGGAGCGCAATTCTGGTAGTGAGGCAAACCCGCTACAGTAGAACTGCTGTTATCGGAATTTGGAAAATTGTGGAGGAAGCGTTTTTTTTGCTGCACTGAGGTCTTTTAAAAATCTTCCAGATATACCTGTGATGGATTAATGCAGGTGAAAATGAATTCAAAACGTGTGTTTGCGTTGCGAGCCATCAGATACAGAGATTCGGCCTGTCCACGTAATCTCGACTTGGCCATTCGAGTCGTTACTCCTCCTACTGCATTGTATCTAAACACAGTCTTTCGATGTTTTGCCGTATCTAAGCACAGTGACTTTGTTTTGTATTTAATTACCAAGATTGCTGAGCCTTTCCCACAATTGGTGCGGATACTTCATGTTGCCCGAGATCTTGTGAAGCTACTGGGATTCACTTTCAGATGTCTGGCACAGCTGCATCACCTTACTACATATTTTAGAAAAACAAGATAAAGAAAAGTTCGGTTCTTGCTAAATACACAGCGTAGTGAAAAATTAGAAATAAGTGAATACCCGACGCTAAGATTTATGCGTGGGATAGCGTGAGCATGCCAAATAATGCGTAGATTTGTTATTCGCAGAATACCGCGGTCACCGTTGTTGCCTTTGGTATCTTCGACCCCATCGATGCGATCCACCAAATGCTCACCGGGAATTAAACACAGCAATCTGAACATTAAACTCCTTCGGATCAGTGGAAAAGCTGAGATTTTCATAACTTTTGTTGTTCGGCAGTTCCTACCACTACCCACTTTACGGGGAGCCCAAATTACCACTAAGGAATTCTCGATATATTGGAAAGCGAGGCGTGTCTATGCCAGAATTTTTTGTTTCAGCTAACTTACCTAGTATTATCACTAATTTTGGGTATGCGGTACTTTCAAGGGGATCTACTATGCATTCATTTTCTATACTACAACACTCGTAGAGTATAAATAAGCAAACCTTGGATCGAGATCGAAGCGTATATCTCGGTCCTGCCAAATTGAATCAGCTGGTGCTTCACGTTTTGAACTCATCGTCTGCCTACTCTACGGAAGCAAATCTAAAATGGATGAGTTTCAACAAAGCACTTCATTTTTGTGTTTTAAAACGAATATTTTTCTCCTCACTGTGCGGTAAATTTAAACTGAGATTCTGGTTATTTAAAAAAACATCACATCAAGCTTCCGACGCAACTGCGGTATTTCCTAAATTTGATACTTCCCGCACCGCTATTCATTCTTTGATCAAAATAATAACTATTTTAACCACCTGTCTTCCGTTTTAGAGTTATAACTTTTCAGAAAGAAAAACTCAATTCGGTCCATTTTGAGACTTATCTTTGAATTTTACTTGGTGCCAGATTCTAAGCTACCTTGAATGAAATTTTTTGTTATTTGTTGCCTATTGACCCTTTCACTAAATGATACATTGAACCCGCTGAATTTGGCCAACCCATATCAGCAGTCGAAGAGATCTTGACAATCGCTCGTGTAAAGTAGATACGCGACACCAAAACATAAAGCGACAACTACAACAACTTCTCACTGGACCCAGAAACGCCGCTCCTCTTACACAATGTTGCTTGCAGTGCACTAGCTGATGTTAATCGAAAAGTATGGTTCCGGAACAGTTGGGATGCTCTTGTTTCAAAACCAACAAAATTCCAGC